TGGGCTCAAGCGATCCTTCTGTCTTAGCCTCCCAAGTAGCTGGGACTATAGGCATGCGCCACCATATCTGGCTAATGTTTATTTTTTGTAGAGATGAGTTTCCCTATGTTGTCCAAGCTGATCTTGAACGCCTGGGCTCTAGTGATTCTCCTGCCTTGGCCTCCCAGAGTGTTGGGAATAATTATAGGCATGAGCCAACATGCCTGGCTAGTTTGGCTTTCTTCTTATTGGACTCATATAATTTCCTGTGGGAAAGACTTAGGTTTTTAAGAGATCGTAGATTCTAATAAGCTTTTTCAAATTTCAGAGACTGTCAGTAAGCTTTTCAATTTGTGGTTTGGGAATTTCTCTTTTCTCCCTTTATGATAATCAGTATAGGATTAGTCTTTCTCAAGGCTTTAAGGTACTTCTCTCTTTCCCTGCTACTTTTTAGAGATTATTGCCTAATTCTCAAATCACAGCAGTGTGTTTGAGTTAGTACATTGGGATGTAATTCTAGACTAGAAGATTTAAATCTATTAAAACTAATTCTTATGCTCTTGTCACCTAACGGGGTTTTTTTGGTTTGTTTTTTTTGTTTGGGGGGGGGGCAGGAGGAAGGTGGCTAAGAACTTAATGGGTTTTGATTCTTCTTTTGTGATACCTGTTCCGCCAATTAGTAGAATAGCAAAATACGTCCACACTTCTGCCTTTCTTGCATCATCTTGCCAAAGCAGTTTTGCTCTAAACACTTATAAAAAGAAAGTTGTCAGCATTTTTGATGAGCCTGTTCACTCTGGACCTTTTCTTCATTAGATACTTTACAAACAATTCATGCTCACTAAAGAAAATTTGGAAAGTAGAGTAAGAAGAAAAGTTGCCTACAGTCTACCACCCAAACCCAGTCATTGTCAACTTTTTGTGTATTCTTATCTCTTTTTTTCGGAGAAAAGCACGCCAGTTTTTAATAACCTAAAAGTTGAAATGCTGAAACTTGTTCACTGAAACATTTTGCCTTGAATTAATGCTTCACCTCCCAACATTTATATTAAAAATTCACACACACATGAAAATGGAAAAACTGCAAATACTTGATTTCTGTCCCGTTTCCCATCAAACATATACCTAGGTATCTTTTGACTCTGTGGGGAAAAAAAAATATCTAAAACTCAGAACTACCAATAACAGGAAAACGAGAATTTTTTTTGAGGACAGGTCTCACTTTGTCCAGGCTAAGTGAGTGCCGTGGTCAGCCTAGTCACAGGCAACCTCAAAACTTCCTGGGCTCAAGCGATCCTCCTGCCTCAGCCTCCCAAGTAGCTGGACTACAGGCATGTGCACCATGCCGGCTAATTTTTTATATTTATTTTTAGTTGGTCATTAATTTCTATTTTTACTTTTTTCTTTCTTTTTTTTCTGAACTCAAGACTTGGCATCTTTCTATTTTTAGTAGAGATGGTGGGCGTCCGCTCAGGCTGGTTCGAACTCCCAACCTCGAGCAATCCGCCCGCCTCGGCCTCCCAGAGTGAGAATTTTTTTTTTTAAAGAATAAAATGTTTCCCCATCATAGTAGATTCTGAAGCACGTTCTCCATGTATGTGGCGTGCTAGCTGGATGTCTTTTGGCATAATTGTTACATGTTTTGCATGGATAGCATGCAGGCTGGTATCTTCAAAAAGGCCAGCCAGGTAGGCCTCACTTGCCTCCTGCAAAGCACCAATAGCTGCGCTCTAGAAGCACAGATCTGTTTTGAAGTCCTGAGCAGTTTCTCTCACAGGAGCTGGAAAGGAAGTTTGCAAATCAGAAGTTGGGTGGACTTCTGATAACATGTAATCACGGAGTGCTGAGGTACAAACCTTGTAGCGATGAGGTTTCTTCGCCCCTCCAGTAGAGGGCGCACTCGTGTGAGCGGCTTTTGTAGCCAATTGCTTCCTGGGTACTTTAGCACTGGTGGATTTGCAGGCAGTCTGCTTTGTAGGAGCCATGGTATAAAGACCTTACTTACCCACCTTCTCCTTCGGCTAGAACTTGGGGAGCTAGAGGCCTTGTGATTGGTTACTTTTTTCTTGGGATTTTCTGAAGTCTGCTTTTCTAAAGACTTGAGTTTTGTGTCCCACACCTGTCATTCATTGTCATCTATCCCTGTTAGAAAATCCAAGATGATACCTTCACCACTTGGCTTGTAGACAACATTCAGTAAAGGTCCACTTTGCATTCCCAGTGCATCTGTTCACTGCCACCTCAGCAAGTAGCCCTTTCTCATTGGTTGGACATAAGTCTAGGAGCCTTCTTTGTTGCCTTATTTTATGATGAGCAGTGACATTGTCAGCAAGATGAGGAAGTGTTGGTCATTCTCTGTTGGCAGTCTTCCTCAAATTTGGAGCTTAACCAAGTCTCCGTCTGTAGTGGGTCTGACCACTGTCAGTTTGGTTCTCTTTTGAGAATGAACCTTTCTTATCTTCCAGCTAATTGAAACTAGTTTATCTCTGCAGTGATAATGCTTTTGCATTTCTTTTTTCATATCTTTATCTGCTTCTTTTGAAGAAAATTGTCAATTGCCCGGTTCTTTTTTTTTTTTCCCCCATGACAGGATACCATTGAATACCCAATTCTATGTATGAGTCTGTTTGAATTAAAATAGACATTTGAGGCTGGAAGTTTTGTTCCTTAACACTCTTTCTCTTTTGTTTTTAAGGTATTTCCTTTTCTTTAATGTTGTTGTAATGTTTTGTTAGAACAATGCTATGATGCCCTTGATATTTGCTTTTGTGGGGTTTTTTTCTGTCTTGTTTTCAAGATTAAGTCCTTTTTATCTAGTCAACAAGTCTTCTACCTCATGTTTCTCCCTGATCCTCAGGCTGTTTCCTCTACCATCACCAGGAGCTCTCTTTGTTCTTTGTTATCTTCTGTGGAACCAATTCCTTACTTCCCATGAACTCTTTTTCTTCCAAAGTCATGGCTTTTAGCTTGAAGAACTGAGAAAGTTCTCTGGACTAAATAAACCCTCATTTTCCATCCAGCAGTCGGACCTCTGTTCAGTCTTGCACCGATAGTCACGATTAAGGATTTGCTAGGTTCATAAGCCTTGATAGTGTTTCCGTCTTTATGAATATGGGCGGTCAGGGAAGCACTCACCTGATTTAGTCTAGCCATACCTACATGGGCTTCCATTAAACCCATCTCTTATTCTTTAGAATGAAGTGACAAAATAAGTGTTTAAACCCTTGGCCGTTTTGTTTGTTTTATTTTCTTTGAGACAATGTCTTGCTAGATTGCCCAGGCTGGTCTCAAACTCCTGGGCTCAAGCCATTCTCCTGCTTCAGCCTCCTGAATAGCTGGGACTACAGGGCATGCCACCACACCCATAAAACAATTATTTAAAAAAAATATTTTTATCTGTAAGTATTCACATGTACTTTATTTTAAATCGAAATAATATACAGCATATAAAAACATGCTTGGAGTAGTGGACACTGAATTCTTGACAGAATTACTTCAGAGAAGGAAGGGCAAGAAGGGATGTGGGGAAGTTATGCAGGCCCCACTTTTATACATATTGTTTTATTTGCCTGAGATCTTACAAGGAATGAAGCATAAAGCTAGGTGGTACATATACAGGTATTTTAAAATTATTTTTTCTTATCAGTATATTTACATTTTTGCAAGTAAGGTTAAAGGAGGAGATAATGTACTTAAAATATTTAGTAAAAAAATTACACTGTCCTGATAGTGTTAAGGTTTCTTTTTGACCACAGCCTTTACCCTTTCTCCCTCCTCAGAGGTAACAGTTATCAATGTAGTGTAATTCATACTAGGCCTTTTACTAGGTATTTGTGTATACAAATATGTACTCTTAGAAAATTTATTGTGGTGTTTTGTGGGTTTTAAGTGTCGTCACTTTGCAATTTTTTGCAATTTGTTTTTTTCAGTTAATAATGTGTCTTAGAATCTTTCCATGGTATGTAATAAATTATCTCATTGTTTTTTACCACATAATATTCTATAATATGGGTATGCCATGATTCATTTAATATTGATAAACCATAATTTATTACTCTAATACCTGCTAGGTTATTTAGAAATAGTGCTGCAGTGAACATGTTTGTGTGAGCTGCTTTGTGAACCTACATGTATGTGTTGTTTAGGGTAGATACTGAGGAATGGAATTCCTAGGTTTACAGGCTGTGTGCTTAATTACATTTTTAATAGACATTACCTATTTGCTCTTCGGATTTGCTATGCTAGTTCTTACTCCCACCATCAGGGAAAGTTAACTCTTTTGCCACATACTGTTGACACTTCATACTAAAAGATGTAAAATCTAGTCAGTGAAAACTGGCATCTTATTTTAATGTGCCTTTTCCTGATGAATAGTGAGGTCAACCTATCTTTGTCATGTGTATATTTGCCTTTGTTTTTTCTTTTATGTAAATTGCCTGTTCATGTCCTTTGCCCATTTTTATTTTGGATTATCATTTTTTATTGATTTGTAGATTTCTTTGCTCTAATTTCATGCTTTGGCATGTTCAGGGGCAGCATCTTTTTCAGAACTGTCCCCCACTATTGTGTATTTCTTTTTTTTTATTTTTTTTTTATTTTTTATTTTTTTGTAAACAGACAAAATCTCGAACACATGTCTTGTGTTTCTTTTTGATGCACATTTAAAAATTTTAGAATCAGCTTGTCAAATTCAATGAATAATCCTGTTAAGTTTGCTAGTGCCTTGATTGTTATAGGTTAATATGCGGAGAGGTATCATGTATTTTATCAGCACCATTTGTTTAATCTTTCTGAGATTAATATGCCTGTTCTGAATTAAATCATATGTTTAATGCTGTTGTTTAGTGAAAAGTTTTAAGTTTACCCTGTTACATCTCATGTTCCTTTGAAATAATTGTTTTTTTCTCTCAGCATATTTCTTTTCTAAATGGATGTTATCTGAAATATTATAAAGGAGTACCAATGAGATGTGCAATAGCAGGTAGGAAAATTCTATCATCTTTTCTGTCTTGTTTTTCTAGCAATCCCCAAAGTGAGATTGGAGACGATCTACATTTGCGGAGTAGATGAGATGAGTACCCAGGATATCTTTTCCTATTTTAAAGAATATCCTCCAGCTCATATTGAATGGTTGGATGATACCTCCTGTAAGTACGCTCACGTTTTCTGTTGACTATGCTTTTGTTGTTGATTTTTAGAGATTTTGCTATCCAAGATAGTGAATGGTTATGGCCCAGACTACTTGTTTATGCCTAACTTCTGTCCTTATCTTGGGAGAGAAAAAATTGCCCAGTGATGAGAACTAGCATGCCTTAGCCAATCTGCCAGCTTATACCCCATGGGTATTCCAAGTCAGCCTACAGATGGTGACCAGGACTCTAAGAATTTGATTACTGGCATCTGAGTCTAATGTACATTATTGAGGGCTCTGCAACACTCACAGTTACTAATAAAGGGGTAGATTCTACCTACATAAATTTGGGGCTGCATTTTCAGGGCTTTGGACTTTGTCATTGCTACCTGCTATATAGTTATTCAGAGGGCTGCCTGTGTCTTAATGTCTCTGACCCAAAAACCAAACCATACTCAGACCTCTCACCTTTGCTAGCCTTGAACTGTGTTTCTGGAACATCATCTGCTTGCCCTAACCTAACAAGTGAGCTGGCTAACTTGTGAGTTAACTGTCATTTTTAACTTGCCTCCCTTCTCCAAGTCTGGCTTGACCTCTGGTAACCACTTTACTGGCTTCTTATCTTGACTTCTAGTCTGGCTTCACTTGCTATCAGCTGGCTGACCTGCTAGGTAGTACTCTAGATAGCAGCCTGGTTTTCTTGACTGCTCTCTTAAGAAGGTGTGCATTCAGTGTTTTCATTGAAGGGGAGAAGCATTGAGTAAAAGATTTTTTCTCCCTTTTTCTTTTTGCTTAACTTACACTATCCAAATCAGTGGTCAGCAGACCTTTTTCTATAAAGGGCTGGGTAGTAAATATTTTAGGCTTTGTGGGCCATGTGGTCTGTGTCACATCTACTCAGCTCTGCTATAGTAGCATGAAAGCAGCTGTAAACAGTACATAAACTAATGAGTCTGGCTGGTTTTCAGTGGAGTGTTATTTATAAAAACAGGTGGTGGATGTATAGTTTATTATGCATTAATTATACCAAAATAAGGCTAGTACAAATATAAATAAATAACAGGTAGTAGGCTAGATTTAGCTTGTGGGTTATAGTTTGCTAACCCCTGATTTAAGTGATTAGAATTATAGCTAGCGAATATTAGAGTTGGAGGGACCCTTGGAATTATCCAATTCAGCTACATCATACTGTACATCAGAAACTGAGAAATAGAGGAAGGAAATTATTTGCCCAAGGCCACATGGCATGTTAGTAACGGAAGTGAGACCTTCATTTCTCAAACTGAGATATGGGGGACATATGAGAAATGATCTTTTAAACATAAAGAGGTTTTTTTTTTTGTTTGTTTGTTTGTTTTTGAGACAGAGTCTCACTTTGTTGTCCAGGCTAGAGTGAGTGCCGTGGCATCAGCCTAGCTCACAGCAATCTCAAACTCCTGGGCTCAAGCGATCCTACTGCCTCAGCCTCCCGAGTAGCTGGGACTACAGGCATGTGCCACCATGCCCGGCTAATTTTTTACATATATATATCAGTTGACCAATTAATTTCTTTCTGTTTATAGTAGAGACGGGGTCTTGCTCTTGCTCAGGCTGGTTTTGAACTCCTGACCTCGAGCAGTCCGCCCGCCTCGGCCTCCCAGAGAGCTAGGATTACAGGCGTGAGCCACCGCACCCGGCCAAGAGGTTTCTTTTCTATAAGACTTCTCAAAGATTTTTTCTTGCTAAATTCTCTTCCTTAAAGAGACAAATTCAATTAGTTGCTACAAAGCCAAGTGGCTGTCATGCCTCCATTGTACATATCCCATGGATATCTTCATCATACATACTTTATGATGGGGGAATATCATTTACCATGTTCAGATGACAGAGAACAGTAAAGGGCTCCCCGTAGAGGGCCAAAGCCTTGTTACAAAGGATAATCCAAATTTATTTGACAGTTATTATTTTCATCAAGAACTGCTGATACTTACATGTCACTCACTGTCTTCCATGCAGTTTTAATATATAGAACCCTTTTTCATGGAATATTTAACAGTTAGGAACCCAGTTTGGGAATGCAGTTCTATGATAATTTTATCAAAGAGGTCTTATTACCATTTCCTATATTTCTTTTCATTAGTTGGTTTGTACGTTTACTAATGACAGTCTGTAGGTAGATGAGGCTATAGTAATGAATGCAATGCAGATCTCTCAAGAAACTTACCATTTGGATGCAATCTAATGTTTTGTTTCACATTTTATTTTAGGTAATGTGGTTTGGCTGGATGAAATGACTGCTACACGAGCCCTTATCAATATGAGCTCTCTGCCTGCCCAGAATAAGATGAAAAGCAGGGATGCCAATGAGGACAAGTCATCTGAGAAAAGTAAAAAAGGTAACTGAACACAAAGGAGTGAACTTTGGATTTCTGAGTAGAGTGTTAAGTAGCATATCGTCAGGTGTTTCTGAAATAAGGTGTGGTGCTTTGGACATCAGTTAATAGGAGGAGAAAGTACAGACTTTTAAATTTATACGAGATGGTTCATCTTGTCCCTCACGTTCCATTTTAGACAAGCAAGAAGACAGTTCAGATGATGATGAGGCTGAAGAAGGAGAAGTTGAAGATGAGAACTCAAGTGATGTAGAGGTTAGTAATAGGACAAAGATATATGTAAGGTTTTATTATAAAAAACTGCTTGCTCTCTTTTTTTATTTAAGGCTTAAAGACTTAGTAAGTTGTGTTTTTCCTCTGGCTTTCACCATTAGACCTTCTGAGGGTACACCAGTCTCTTGGCCTTTAAGTTTGTGTGGATGTGACAATTCATCTTGAGATCTTGGAATAGTACTCACGCTTCTGCATGAAAGAAAATGATTTTATTGAGAAATTCTTTAAAGTGTTATCTAATTGCTAAAATTAAGAAAAAGCAAGTAATGGCATATTTCCTAATGGATTATGTACAGTTGTTAGAAATATTATCATGTGTTCATTTAAAAAATATTTATCAAGTACCTATAACATGCCAAATTATAGGCACTAGGAATATAGCATCAAGCAAAAAAAGTCCTGGCCCTCTTGGAGTCTGTATTCTATTGAGGAAGACAGAAAATTTACACAGATCCACGGAGATACAATGTAAGGAGATGTTGAGTGCTGTGAAGAAAAGAGGGTTAAGGGACTAGAGAATGATAGAGACTGTTCTTTTAGGCAAGTTGATCGAGGGAGACCTTTGATTTGAAATTCTACAGAGGAACTAGCGCTATAATGCTATAAGTATTAATGGCAGAATACTTTCTTAATAGTAACTTTACTACTGAAGAAATTTGAAAAACACTTTAATTTTTGTATTAAAAATGCTCTTTTTTCTTAAGTTGGACACATTATCTCAGGTAGAAGAGGAATCTTTGTTAAGAAACGATCTTCGTCCAGCCAACAAACTTGCTAAAGGAAATAGGTTATTCATGAGATTTGCTACAAAAGGTAATTTGATATTTGGTATTGATTATTTTTGATCAAAATGATTTATTATTGAGTGATATCCTTCTCTTTTGAATAGAAGTTAGATCACATAATCTCCAAGTTCCCTTCAAACTATAATAATCTGTGCTTTTGAAGTAATGGCTTGCTACTTGAATTGGAATTTCTGACTGAAAGTGAATATTAGCTACTTGTATGTATGTTTTTGTGGTTTCTGGCTAAAGTAAGTTATTTTCTGTTAAAGCTGATGTGCCTCATGTGCTTTCAGCCAGTTGTCATTTAATCTATGAAAACATTTTTAATTATACTTTTTGATTTATTATAGCAACATCCTCCTGGACATTGCTAATGTGCCATACATTCCCTCCTCATAAGACTTTATGCACATTGACTTTTGGTGGGCATTGAAAATATAGGTGTGTATACACATACACACACAGTAGTTTTTTTAATCATTTGAAAGTTAGTTGGAGATAAAAACCTTTCACCCCTAAACACTTCAATATATATTTCCTAAGAACAAGGACATTGTCTTCTACACAGCAGAGTTATCAAAATTAGGAAATTTAACATTAACACAATATTACCTAATCTATAGTCCATATTCAGATTTCATCATTTGTTACAAAAATATACTTATATCAGTTTGGACTCATGGATTCTTATTCCATGGATTATCATCCATTAGTAGTATTATTTTGAGTCATAAATTATCTTGGATTTGGCCAATAGAGCCCCTTTAAACTGTATTTTGATATGCCCTGTGATTCTTTAAGCACTTTCTTACTTTCTGGCACAATAAAACATCTTGTTTTTCGAGACTCATTTTGAACTTTACCTGCTCCAGATCTGGATCTGGAATCGGCCATTTCTCCAAGGCTGGGGGGCATGGGTTTTTTGGGGGAGGGTGATAGTGGTAGTGAACAGACTGGTTTGTATTGCCATTTGACCCATAGGCACTGGATGCATTTACAGTGGGGTTTCTCCTTTGCAGTCAGAGTGCCCAAGAAACTGTTTATGAATAACATAAACTGCCTTTATGTTATCGCTTTTGACAAAAATGTGATCACTGACCACCTTTTTTTTCCTATTTATTGGCATTTTAACTTAAATGTGATCTTTCCACATTTGCTCATTTGAGTGGCTATTTGAATGCATTCTAGATGTATAATGCTATGCTGTTTTCTTTAAGCCATTTTGAGGAATACCACAGCAAGCTGGAAAAAAACAATTTACCAGACACATGGATTATATGTAGTCTGTTTCTTCTTTCTTTGTTTCTTTCTTCCTTCTTTTTCATTTCCCTTTCCATTTCCATTTCCTTTCCTTTTTCTTTCTTCTGTTTTTTTTTTTTTTTTTTTCTCTGGGATTTCAATTAGTTGTATTTGGGCATTCTAAACCAATTGTCTAATTTTTTTTTTTTTTTTAAAGAGACTCGCTCTGTTGCCCAGGCTGGAGTGCAGTGGTGCAGTCATAGCTCCTCCCACCTCAGCCTCCCCAGTAGCTAGGACTATAGGCACTTGACACCATGCACAGCTAATTTATTTTATTATTATTATTATTTTTGTAGAGATGGGGTGTCTCTATGTTGCTTAGGCTGGTTTCCACCTCCTGGTCTCAAGCAGTCTTCTCACCTCAGCCTCCCAAAGTGCTGGGATTACAGGAGTGAGCCACCACGCCCAGCCATGATCTGTTTCTTTAACCCTGATTTTGTGTTGTTGGAGTGTTGTCATTCAGAAATGAGTATCATCTTTCAGGGAGCAGCAAAAAATGCTACCTTTTCAAGAAAGTCTTTTTGATTCCTGAGTTCCTGTTATGACTAAAGCTTTCTTATGCCTTTTGGAAGAACCTTATATCTTGTATTGTTGTTTATTTTTAAATTTTTCTCTGTTAAGTCAGCTCCTAAATAGTAGCTTAACCTCATTCATCTCTGTATTTTTTTTTTTTTGGAGACAGAGTCTTGCTTTGTTGCCCAGGCTAGAGTGAGTGCTGTGGCATCAGCCTAGCTAACAGCAACCTCAAACTCCTGGGCTCAAGCGATCCTCCTGCCTCAGCCTCCCGAGTAGCTGGGACTACAGGCATGCGCCACCATGCCCAGCTAATTTTTTTTATATATATTAGTTGGCCAATGAATTTATTTATAGTAGAGACGGGGTCTCACTCTTGCTCAGGCTGGTTTCGAACTCCTGACCTCAAGTGATCCGCCCGCCTCGGCCTCCCAGAGTGCTAGGATTACAGGCGTGAGCCACCACGCCTGGCCTCATCTCTGTATTTTACTCTAAGTTTTACTCTGATCCTCTCCATACTGCATTGTCTTCGTAGGCATTCAGAGAGTGAATGTTTATAGTGGGTCTTTCCTTTTTTTGGCAGATCGCATCAATCTTATTGCAGCTATGGAAAACGTTGTGTGTTTTTTTTTAACCATTCAACATTGTCTTCACACCCACAGGAAATCCTAGGTAATTGTTGTAATTAATTTTTAGATGACAAAAAGGAACTTGGAGCAGCTAGAAGAAGTCAGTATTACATGAAATATGGGAATCCAAATTATGGAGGCATGAAAGGAATTCTTAGCAATTCATGGTGAGTCCAAAACCTTAAATATAACAGTTTAACTAGTACTTAAGCTTTTCTTAATCCTCCAGTTGATATTCTGTAATGGAATGTCTAAACCTCATGCGGACTAGAAGGAACATGAGGAAAGAATTCAAGATTCTTAAATGTGGTAAATGATGTGAAAATGCCGAGTTTCAGTTTCATTTAAAATATGTTTCGGCACTTAACCTTGCGTCAATGTGTAGTTCAAACGAATTAGTGGATTTCAGGGTCCTTCCTATTAGTTTTTGATTATGTGCTTATTGTGGCAATGTTGCAGGAAGCGGAGATATCATTCCCGTCGCATTCAGCGGGATGTGATCAAGAAGAGAGCCCTGATTGGGGATGATGTTGGCTTGACGTCGTATAAACACCGACATTCCGGTAGTTGCCTGCTCAGCTCTTGGGTAGACACATGTTTGGCTCCCGAAATCATATTTTTATTCTTAATACAGTCTTTTAAGGTTCCAAACTTTATCATCCTCTCTTCCTTGCCCTCACCCTCTGCCAACATATAGGAAAGTAAGTCAAGTCACGATTAATTTTGAATTGCCCATACAAAGAGGTCAAATGATTTTATAAAAGCTATTCTAATAAACAAAGATCAAATATGACATAGGGAAATTTAAAACAAAATTTTCTTTAAAAACTAATTTTTCTATTAGTATCAACAACTACATAAATTTTTTTTTATTATTATTTTATTAGATGAGCTGATTTTATTGTTCCTTTTCTCAATGAAAATAAGCCACTGTCGAGTGCTTTATGCTTATTGGCTGTGCACATGAATGCCTCAGAAAATTGGGATATCATGACTTGGGTTTCTTTTGTGGGGTGTTTATTGTAGAAGAATCATTTTCATTATGTTTTATCAAGATTTGTTTTTATTTTGAGCTTAATCTATGGAATCTTCTATGTGCTTTATAGAACTAGCCAAGTCAGCATACAGATAGCATATACACACATTTATCATTGTAATGGGGACAGAAAAAGATGAAGTCTATATGTTTTTATTTAATGTATATATAAAAATTATAATTTTGAGATCTGAACATTATATGCATACTTTTCTGTTACTGTTACATAGTTATACTTTTCCAGTGCAGTTATTGTAAGATATTTTTATCATAAACTCTTTATATCCATATTAGGGAAATTAAAAAGCAAACTGTCCCTAATTCTAACACCCTAATATGACAACTGATTTCATCTTACATTTTTCCCATTTGTCTATTTTCATAATAAATATTATAATTCTTATGAACACATAGATGATATCTGCTTCCATTTATCATTAGTGTTTATGAACTTTAAAGTTACAATTGATTTCATTATTCATGGTGGTTATATTCTATAAAGTCACTTCAAACATTGAATTAGCAAATGAACCATACAAAACCTCTGGTCATGTCATTTTTGTCAGTTGATCAATATGTAACCTTGTTTTACATGTCTTTAAAAACACCTTATTTAATATATATTGTTAATTTATTAACATTGAGCTCATGGCCAATAGCACTACAGCTCATGCCTGTATGAAGCTTATCTAACACATGTGGTTTCTCCATAAGACACAGCACAGCCTTCCTGCATTTATGAACACTAGACAGCTCTTCAGCACTAGGCTGGGGGGCTATTTTAAATGGTGAAATCACCAACAAAAACCACAAAAAATGTGAAAAATGTGGCACTTAATAGACTGTGAAAAGGGTACTTGCTTACAGTGTGAGATGAAACAGGAAGGCAGAGTGTTGCTTTGTTTGTCTTCAGCTGGGATCATGCATGTCTGGTGATTTGAATTTTTTTGCACTCTGCATGTCTGGGGATTGACTATGAAAGGGCTGCGAGTAGTGATTTTGGAGTTACAAATAAATTTGGCAAATTTGCAAATACAAAATCTGTGAATGAGTGTCAGCTGCATTTTAAATGACTTTATAATATTTCATTAGGCTGCTACATCATACTTTAACTGTTCTCCTATTGTTGTTATCAGAATAGTATCCAGTTTGGCACTATTATAGATAATGCTCCAGTAAAATCTCAGGGATGGGAAGTCCACCTTCTTATTATAAAAAGATCACCAGTGTAGAATAGAAAATTAAACTTTAGCACTTTTCCTAATGTTTTTTGGTTAAATTTCTTCAGGATTAGTAAATGTTCCTGAGGAACCCATTGAAGAGGAGGAAGAGGAAGAGGAGGAGGAAGAGGAGGAGGAGGAAGACCAGGACATGGATGCAGATGACAGGGTGGTGGTAGAGTACCATGAGGAGCTCCCAGCTCTCAAGCAGTCCCGGGAACGGAGTGCATCTCGGCGGTCCAGTGCCAGCAGCTCAGACTCAGATGAAATGGATTATGATCTAGAACTGAAAATGATTTCCACCCCTTCACCAAAGAAAAGCATGAAAATGACTATGTATGCTGATGAAGTGGAATCTCAACTGAAAAATATTAGGTAAAAAAAATTTTTTTATCAATGCTCGCTTTTATTTATTTATTTTTATTTTTATTTTTTTTTGAGACAGAGTCTCACTTTGTTGCCCAGGCTAGAGTGAGTGCCATGGCATCAGCCTCGCTCACAGCAGCCTCAAACTCCTGGGCTCAAGGGATCCTCCTGCCTCAGCCTCCCAAGTAGCTGGGACTACAGGCATGCGCCACCATGCCTGGCTAGTTTTTTCTCCATATATTATTTGGCCAATTAATTTCTTTCTATAGTAGAAAGAAATTCTACTATATATAGTAGAAAGAGCGGGGTCTCGCTCTTGCTCAGGCTGGTCTTGAACTCCTGACCTCGAGCAATCCACCCGCCTCGGCCTCCCAGAGTGCTAGGATTACAGGCGTGAGCCACCGCGCCTGGCCTAATGCTCGCTTTTAATTTGATTTTAAATACTAAATAGTAACTTCTTAATTCCTCATAATTTTTTCTTTGCACTGTGAGTTTTAAATGGAAATAATAAAATCGTTTAATGACTCAATGAATTGTAAAAATTTGATAATTGTACTATCATTTATGAGGCATTTATTCTTCATTATTTATGTATGCCTAAAAGAAACTGTATACTTGTATTTTCTGTTCCCCATTTCAGAGCAAGATTATGAAGAGGGGGTCTTAACTATTTATAAGTCAAAAGCCCAACTGGATTATAAATCAGAACCCAACTGGAATAGAAGTGAAATATAAAGAGAAATCTATACACAGATGTGCTGTAAGAATATAGGCGGTCCTAACTCATATTTTGGTTATGAAAGCAATTTAGCTCATCTTACAGGAAACAAAAGCAGGTGCTGAATCAGGAAAACCCCAATTATTTTTAACATTCCTCTTAATTTTTTCTTTTCCCTGGTTTCTTGTACACTGTGCTTGAGTCTTGAACAAGTAACCATTTGAGAGGATGTTGGCAATAGATGATCCATGGAAGAAGTGTTGGCAAACATGAAAAAGCAGACCTAGCCATAAGTATATAGAAAGTCCACCTAAACTGTGTAGCCACGTGCCCATAGATAAATCCACTTATCACAGAAAAATGAATAATTCCCCGAATCATCTGTTCAGCTAGCTTCTGGCCCTTGTATCCATCTGCGCAGATGCTCCAGCATGACTGGGCGAGGAGGGGGCAGTGGAGTATGGGCTGCAGGGCAAGGGCCACTGAGGCTCAGGAAGAGTAGGGACCAGGGTCTGGTCCTCTGTTGTCCGAAGGGCCTGCCAAGTCTGGGAGTCACCTTCTAATTTTATAAACACTTTTATCTATTCTAAGCATCCAGTTTTCCCTTTGTACAAGCAGTGATCCTTGTTTAAAAAAACAAACTATAGATAATATAAAAAGTGAAACCTTCAGCACAGCATATTATTCTATCTATGTGTATCTATGGATACACAAAAATTCATTTTAATTCCGAATTTGAAATGTAAGAAAAGTACAGAGAATAAATACCCACACCCATGTACATAGCTTTTTTTAAATAAATGCTAACAGTTTAAAAAAAAAAAAAAGTGAAAACCACCTGTATTCCCATTCTTTCCTGATAATAATGACCATTAGCAATTGAATGAATAAGTTTCAGCTATTTATGCATATACCTAACATGGAGAAACTATAGATATATTCATATAAAAATATGAGTATAGAAATGAAGTTCTGTTACTTATGTTTCGCATTGTGCATTTTTCATTTAATATATTGTAGACATTATTATTTTTTTAACTGTATGTTGCCTGTTGTTTGAATATATCAGGATTTACTTAATTCCTTTTTTGGTGGATTTTTTTTTTTTTTTTGAGACAGAGTCTCACTCTGTTGCCAGGGCTAGAGTGCCCTGGTGTCAGCCTAGCTCACAGCAACCTCAAACTTCCGGGCTCAAGCGATCCTCCTGCCTCAGCCTCCCGAGTAGCTAGGACTACAGGCATGCGCCACCATGCCCGGCTAATTTTTCTATTAATATATTTTTAGTTGGCCAATGAATTTCTTTCTATTTATAATAGAGATGGGATCTCGCTCTTGCTCAGGCTGGTGTCGAACTCCTGACCTTGAGTGATCCGCCCGCCTCGGCCTCCCATATTGCTAGGATTATAGGCGTGAGCCACCGCGACCGGCCTTGATGGATATTTAGGTTTTTATTTTCTTACTATTACACTAAATTCCTCAAAGTCCAGTTAATGTGCAGAATAATACATGTGTTATTATTGGTAACGTGGTAAGTATTGCTTGTATAGTGGTAGCGTGGTAAGTATTGGTAATGTGGTAAGTACTGCTACATTTCTTTTCAAAAATGTTTTAATCACTCATATTACCACCTGTTACCTATAATCATTAGCTATAATCATTCATTCTAATCTCTGCTAGTTTTGTGGACCAAAAAAAAGTTATTTTAATGTGCATTTCTTTGATTACAAGAAAGGATGAGCAGATTCTATGATGACACATAGTGTATCCACAATTCTAAGAGTTAAAATCTAGGGATGCTGTCTAAAAGATGTTCTTGGTGGTATGGTGTATTTAGGGGGAAGGAAAAAGACCACTCAAGCTGATTTGTTTGCATGGCCTTGTACACATCTTTATTTTTAGTTTTCAGAGAACTTTTTGGTAGAGAATGCCACCAGAATAATGCTAATAGCTAGCATGGTAGCAGATCTCTTTGATAGAGATGTCTGCCCTTTAAAGAAAGGAATTATAGACTCTTGACTATAGCCAGTTACAGCATGGATGAACAGAGAGTCCCATGTTCTTTGTAGGCATCTACTTAATGTTTGTTCCATGAGAAGAGGACTTGTAGTTATATGCTGTGTGATAACATACATATATCATATGTGGAAACTACCTTGGAAAACTCAGGAGCCTCTTTATTCTAACCTGTCTTTTTACAACAGGTTGATCATGGGTTTTGTAAGCAAATAATTGTCAGTGTATAGTATTTGTAAGTCAGCGTTGGCCATATTAGATTTTCTTAAATTGTTTCCTTCAAAATATGAGATTATTTCCTAGGTCTTGTCTCACACCTGCAGTTAGTTAACTGTGCCCCCCACTCTTTTTTATTTTAAAGGAACTCCATGAGAGCAGATAGTATATCCTCAAGCAATATCAAAAACCGAATTGGTAACAAATTACCATCCGAGAAATTTGCAGATGTCCGACATCTATTAGATGAAAAACGTCAGCACTCACGTCCACGGCCACCAGTCAGCAATACTAAGTCAGGTATTGTTCTTCATTTGTTTCTGTCCTTCATTCTGAGCTCCAGAAAGCAAACTGGGGGAGGGATATGTTCTTGGATAAAACATTGCCATTTATGAGCTGAATTAGTTGTCCTGATTTGTCACATCTAAATCTGGGGCTAGGCATTGGAATTTCAGAACACAAAAAATAATCAGACTTTTGCAAAACTAACTTTCAATATTTTTGTCCAAAACAATTACAGTTGTCCTTTGGTATCTGTAGGGAATTGGTTTCAGGACCCCCCCCAACAGATACCAAAATCTTTAGATACTAAACGCACTGATGCTTAAGCCCCTTATATAAGATAACATCATATTTGCATGTAACCTACACATACCCTCTCGTATTCTTTAAATCACCTCTAGATTACTGATAATACTTAATACAATGTAAACAGTTGTTATTCTGTATTTTTTTAATTTGTATTATTTATTTTTAATTTATTTATTTTTAAAAACAGAGTCTCATTCTGTCCCCTGGGCTAGAGTGCCGGGGCATCAGCCTAGCTCACAGCAACCTCAAACTCCTGGGCTCAAGCAATCTCTTCCTGCCTCAGCATCCCAGGTAGCTGGGACTATAGGTGCATTCCATGATGCCTGGTTCTTTTTTTATTTTTAGTAGAGATGGGTCTCCATCTTGCTCAGGCTGGTCTTGAATGCCTGAGCTCAACCAAACCTCCCCCCTCAGCATCCCAGAGTGGATTACAGGTACAAGCCACTGTGCCCAGCCTGGTTTTGTTTTTTCAAGTATATTTAATCTGTGGTTGGTTGAATCCATGGATGTGGAATCCACAGATAAGGAGAGCCAACTGTATTTTACCCTGTTGGTCATTGGTATACTATATACACAGGAATAATAGAAATTAAGTTGGAGGGTTGTACAAATGGTTAAGAGTTTGCACTAGATCATTTATACGTGCAAACACTCATTCCACAGGTATTCGGCTATGCCTGCCAGGTGTTGGCAATGTTGCAAGTCTTTGGAGGGGATACAGAGCCATCGTAGCCCCATGTTGGAGGGGAATTGTGGAAGGCCTCTTAGGCCTCTTAGGCCTTACAGCTAGGCTTTAGAGGAGGAATAGGATCTCAGGTGGCAAACCTAATCTTTTGAGGTGGGGGGTAACCCGATCTTATATCTATTTTAGATAAATAATGTGGTGGCGGAGTGGGTTCAGGTAGAGAGTTAAATAACGAGGGCCTAGATGAGGTCAGGGACAGCGGGGACAGAATGGATGAGAACCGGAAGCCTTGTGGGAGAAGACTCAGTGCTGGGGTGAGGGAGGAAAGGGAAAGGAGCCCAGGGGCTTAGGCTGCGTGACTGGAGAGATGGGGCGCTACTCTCTGGGAGAAGCTAAAGTGAGATGGACAAGAGCCCCAGTGCAAGGCCTTGCTGATGAATGTGTATCTTCTGTTGCTGTTGTTAGAAGGAACTCAAGAGGACAGGCAGACTTCTGAGGGATTAGAAGAAAAACAAATTTGGGACATCTTGCCTTGATCCTTTGCTTTTTGCCAATCTCATTATGTTTACTTATTAAATGTAATAAGTACATTGAAAACTACTTAATTTGTTCAGAGATTGTGCCTCTGCCCTCAGGGAGCTTGCAGTATGGTTTGGTAGCTGAAATTTTGTAAATTATTTAGTGTGCTAGGTTCTATCACAAAAAGTTGTTTCTGCTTCAGAAATTTCTTTCTAGAGCAATCAGCGGAGGATTTTTACCCCTGATAGCCCCTGTGTCCAAAATTTTCTAGGGGAATCCAGATTGATTATGAAGAGGCTTTTAGAAGCCTGATTGTGTCAGGGCCCTGTGTCCTCATTTGGGGAAAGTTGGTGCCAGATCCTTTAGAGAGCTTGGGTGGACAGTACAGAGAGCAAAGCACACACTTGGTCACAGCAGTGCTTGTTTTCTTTTTCCAGATATACGCCAGCGGTTAGGAAAAAGACCATATTCTCCAGAAAAGGCTTTTAGTAGTAACCCAGTTGTTCGGAGAGAGCCTTCTGATGTACATAGTAGACTGGGCGTTCCCAGGCAAGATATTAAAGGCCTCTACTCTGATACTCGGGAGAAGAAATCAGGTTGGTAACACTTAAAACCGATGGGAATGGGAATTGGGTAAGAGCAGAGGACAAGGGTGTGTGTAGCATAGAAATACTTTCTTAGAAGGTGAAAAACAGTAAATGCCAAAAATAAATGATTCTTCCTCTTCTATTATGATTATTGTCATCATCAACATCCTCTTCCTCCTCCTCAGTCATAGTGCTAACATTAAGGAGAGTTTAGAAAATGGAAGGAAAAAACCATACTTCTATTTCTTTGCTTTTAGTACAAATCCTTTCTTTCGAGTTTTGCCTGTGCTATTCCAGTCTTTGTCCATAGACATATCCTATTTTTTTCATGCAGCAGTTTATCGTAATCATTTTTACACGTTGTTGCATTCATAAATAAAACTTTTAATTTCCGTACAGTGTGGCTATGTCACAAAATTCTGAACATGTATTTCTCTATTGCTAGATTTTTCGAAAATATATTTAAAAAATTAATGAATAGTGGGAAGAATCTCTGAAAGTTTACAGGGTAGTCCACCCATCAATTTGCAGACTATTAGAGCTGGAAAGGATCCTGGAATGGGCCAATCCTGGCAGAATGAGGTGACACCGGGGTGTCATCTCAGCAGGGAGGGGCAGATATGGGAGGAAACAGCCTCTCAGGTGATTCTGATGTGTCTAGCTCAGGGGGGCCTGTCACCAACAGTGAGAATTTCCCATTTGGTCCAGACCCCTCTGTTTGCAGGCAGGGGGCTGCAGCCGAGGAAATAAGGTTACCTACCCAAGGCTGCACAGTGAGTCACAAGTACCTCAGACTGCCTGCGTTCCCTGCACATCAGCTGTTGGCAGTGTTCCTGTTTCCTCAGTACTACCCTGGCTCTTGGTGGTGACTGCCGAACTGAAATGTTGTCTCACCCAAACAGGTAGCTTATGGACTCGCTTAGGATCTGCACCCAAGACCAAAGAAAAGAATACGAAGAAAGTGGATCACAGGGTGCCTGGCACCGAGGAAGATGACTCCGAGCTGCAAAGGGCATGGGGGGCTCTGATTAAGGAGAAAGAGCAGTCTCGTCAAAAGAAGAGCCGGTTAGATAACTTACCATCTCTCCAGATTGAAGTTAGTCGGGAAAGCAGCTCTGGTTCAGAGGCAGAGTCCTGATGCCCTGGGGCCTGTGGCAGCTGCCCTAAAGCCTGACATTCTTGCACAGGGTGGGGCGCACAGTAGGAACCTCCCCCTTCAGGAGTTGGCACCCTCTTGCTCCTACTCCTACAGTCACCCTCAGCTCTTGCTGCTTCAGCAAGACATCTTGAGAATGTGACGAGCTTTGAAGGGCATCTCTCTATCTTTTGCTGCAGAGTTATAGTTCTGGGCCCTTGATTCTTTTCCCACAACCCCACAGGCTTTACCCTTTGAGAAAAAGGCAACCCTCCAGATTTTGTAGACGTTTTCTTAATATTTTTAACATTGTGTCTTTTAAAAGAAATGTTTTACACAGTTCATCCAAAGAGCAGAGAACTGAACTTCTCACTATTGCCTTGGCCCTGACAGCTGTTACCAGCACCCTTTTCCCAAGAAAAGTCAATTCCCAGGTGCTTATTGGACAGCCTTCGAGGGGGAAGATGAGGGAAGCTGCCAGCTCACCCTTCCGGGACCCTAGTGTGGGGGCGAATCTCACGGACCTGACCTCAGAGGTGCACCAGTGCCGCCCAGGTAGATAAGAGACGCAGCATTGATCGTGCTTCCGTTCTTCCCTCGGTGATTCCTAATGTTAGGGGCCTCTTACTAGCTATCAGCTTGATGTGAAGATCAAGTTCAGTGCTGTGGGAGTTTTAGAAACAAAAAACTATGACTTCTGGATTTGGGGTTGATTTTTGTGCTAGGGGTGGGGTTGTGGGTTAATGTTGAACAATTTTTAAGTCTGTATTATGTTTAAAAATATTAATGATTTAAAAGTTTTAATTTTTATATGTGGAAATTCTTCCTGTTGGCTACAGGGGAAGCTCAAGTGGTGTCTTCTTTTGTGCTGTTAAATATATATTATATACTTTGGAAGAAGGCAAAGAGAGGAGTCTCATTATTTTTAAATGCTCCTAATTGTATAGTCTGTTTGTTGTACATAGAGTTCAACTTGCTTTTCGGCCCACTGTAGGAAAAAGAGTCCATCCATCTGAGATGGGGCCCTGTTGTTTATTATAACATTAGAAGTGATACATTGATATTTATTTTTTCTGTCTCCAAGTTGTGGCACCTGAAAACTTTGTCAAAACTGGCAAATAAGATATTGGTTACAAAAATTTTAGTTTGTTTATTTTTAAACTTGTTTCAGATTATTTTACCACAAAAAGAAGGTAGTTATTTTGTCTTCCAGTCTGATTTTTATTTTGAAGTATTTAATTTTGTATTCCTCTGCAGGCTTAAAAAGTAGTGTTCCACTTCAGTCCACTAGAACTCGGGAGGTGGAGATAGTAATAAGCCTTTGTCCCTTTTTTGATGTCACAGTTCTTCACCTGCCTGGAGTGTTCTACACTCAGTGCAACCCTGAATCCTTGAAATCATTACTTGTGGCTGAGCTAATGATCACCTTGATAGTTGATTACACTGTGGTGCAAATGAATGCAGAACACTGTTGATAAAGTAAAGGGCTGTGAGACTTGAGGGCTGCAACAAAAACTGTGTTGTACCATATTTCGTTGGTTAACCTGCATTTTCTCTCTCCCTTTAGAAAGATTAGAGCATATAATCATGATATGTTTCAGTTCTTTAATAAAGAGGTAGTTCTGGTTTCTCTGCCAGTTGAGACCCAAGGTTTCTGAGGTTTCTCACTCAGCTTTTCTTGCCCTGTGAAGCACACAGCTGAGAGCCAGGTTCTTAGGAGGGGTCCAGCCTTGGGGAATTGATAGAGTGACAAGTGCAAGGGCCTGAGAGTCAGAGACCTGGATGCCAATCCCTGGCTCTGCTCCTTGGACCTGGGCCTCACTTTCCACATTTAGCAAATGAATGGGCTGGTACTTCTGGCCTTTTTGGTGCATATAAGTGGTGTTTTTACTCTTCCCAAAGCTGTGACTGCAGTGGGCTGGCCAGCACTGGTTTCTGTTGCAAGTGGAGGAAGTGTCAAGGAGATGGCTGAGGGCTGTATGTGGTCGTGGACAGGGGCTTATCCCCATCCCATTACAGTCTGGTTCTGCTAATGGGACAAAGATGTCCTGTGGTCAGGGTCCCAACCAACATGGTCTCTGCAGGGCTTAGAATGTGCACCTTTGCAGACTTAACCTTTTTGTCTGCCAGTCATGACCCTTACCAATAGTGAGGCCCATTTGTTCCATGGCCTTTCAACAATCACACAGGGAAGACATTCTGGAAGGGGGTGGTGTACAGTTAAAACTGGTCTTTGATCCAGTGCAGTTCTCACAGACACAGAGAAAAGACCCACAAAGGCCTTATTAGCTTCTCTCACTCACTCTCCTGCCCACACTTAGGCACTCAAATCTTGCAACATCTTGAGTTTGCCCCAAATGGCCAGGCCTTTTCTTTGGAGTTCAGGAGTGAAGATGGACAGTCAGGACAGTCCCCTGGCAGGCACTTGGCATACTTTTATCCTGGACACTCCCCATATGTGTGGGCCGCAGGGCCACACGCTTTTTTGTATTCCTCTTAGTCTTTATATATAGGAGATTTTAAATACATTTTTGCTGCTTGATAATAAGTGCAGATACCTCATTTCTGTTTCCCCCTCTCCCCCTTTGGAGAGCTACCAAGTACCCAGGAGAACTTGTGGAGCCCACCACAAGATGTAAGCTCCCCTCGTCCAGCCCCCAGTCCGATCCTAAGAATCCCTCCCTTCAGTTCGACCGCTGTCCTGTCCCACTCCATCTGTACCGCAGCCTCTTCGCTGGTCTCCGTCCTGTCACTCCCTCTCCATTTTGTACGCTGCAGCAGAGATAAACTTTTGTTTGTTGTTAGCAGCAGTGTAATTTACATATTAACAGCATACAATTCACCCATTTAAAGTGTACACTTCAGTGGCTTTTGGTATGTTTACAGAGTTGTGCAGCCATTACCATAATCAACTTTAGAACAGTTTCTTCACCAAAAAGCCCCTGCCAACCCCTGGCAACTACCAGTCTACTTTCTGTTTCTACGGATTTGCCTGTTTGGGACATTTCATGTAAATGAAATCATGCACTATGTGTCTATTTTTGATTGGCTTCTTTTCACTTAAAATATTTTTAAGCCTCATCCATCTTGTAGTTATATATCAGTACTTCATTTTTTAATGAAGTTAAAAATTATTAATTGCCAAATAATAGTCCATTATATGGATATACCACATTTTAGTTATCTGTTCATTAGTTGATAGACATTTGTGTTGTTTCCACATTGGCTATTATGAATAATGTTGCTGTCAACGTTGATTTGTAAGGTTTTACGTGTACATGTATTTTCGTTACTCATGGGTTTATACTGAAGAGTGGAATTGCTGGGTCATATGTTAACTATGTTTAACCTTTTGAGGAACTTACAACTGGTTTTCCAAGGGATTGTATCATTTTCCATTCCCGCCAGCAATGTATTATGAGGATTCTAGTTTTTCCACATCTTCACCAATACTTAGTGTTTTCCAGTGTGAAGTGGTATCTCATTGTGGTTTTGATTTGCATTTCTCTAATTGTAATGACGATGGGCATTTTTTTTTAAAGGTAGCAATAAATTTATTGAAATGAAAAGACTCTAATTTGGAGGTGCTATAGGAAGATACATGTTGTTTGTTTTACTTTTTTTTAATTTCAAGAAAATATGAAAGTTCAAACATTTTGGTTACATTTTATATCTTTGCCTCTCCTTAGCAAGGGTTAGAGGTATGACGATGGGCATCTTTTTGTGTTCTTCAGGATGAACTTTCTTAAATGTAAATCTGATCCTCTGCTTGAAACCTTTCCAGAGCTTAGCCATTGCCCTTGGAATAAATTCTAACTCCTTTGAGAGCTTATAAGGCTGGTCAATATCTAGTCTCTGGCTTCTTCTTCCCATTCTTCCCTGCCCTCCGCTCACTAGTTCCCTGGATCAGTCTTGATCTCACCATCCTCCCAGACTTCGCGCAGTGCTGTTTCTACCCCCAGCAACATACTTCTCCCAGTCCTTCCCTCCTGCCTCAGCCTCAAGGTCTTAAGGAAGCAACCCCCACCTTCCAGAGCCAGGCTATGGTCTCCTTCTATGTATTCCATGGCATTGCCTGGGGGGAATCTTGGCTCATTCCAGGATTAAGATAAAAATTGAGTGTAATTAAAATTCCTCTTGGAAATCCAAGGAAGGTGCCATGTTGAAGACCAGCTTTGTGAGGTCCTGTGCAGTCAGTTCTTGCTTATGTAGGAACAGATCACTGTTTCTTTGGTTGAACACCAAGTGAAGTAGTTGGCCTGTAGCTAGGACCATGTTGTGCAAAAATTACTTATTTTTGGATGTTAGAATCACCCTTATGCAAGAAGCTCATTTGAGGAGCTTGGGGACAGGGTCAAGCCACGGAAGCAGCAATGGCACAAGCTCACCAGGCCCTCCCGCCTGTCTGTGCCCATTGAGTGAAGGAGGGACAAGTGAAATGGCCCAAACGACTTACAGTTGTCTTCTTTTTCTTGTCCTTTTCTTTCTTTTTTCTTTTTTTTTTTTTTTGAAACTTTTCCAGACAAATACTGTTATGTTTAAGTGAATTGTGTGTATAATGCCAAATCACTGTACCCCTCAACCCAGCACACCTATACACTGGACTGTAATTTCCTGTCCCTAGTCTGTCTGTTTTACTAGACTGTAAGCTCCACGAGAGCAGGGACCATGTTCATCGGAGCTTGTTCATCGGAGTTTCCCTAGTGCCTACTACCATGCCTGACACTCACATGTCCTCCATAAACATGTAATGAATTGTAAATCTCCCAGGGGAACACCTCCATCCTCAGAGGCCCTGGGGCCCTTACAGGCTACACCTTGTTTTTCTGCCATGTGCATACAACGCTTTGTTTTCGTGTTTTATTTTTATTTCTAGCCTGTGAGCTCTTAATGAGCAGGTGTCTTCATGTTGTTATCTCTGTATCCTCTCACCAGCCCAGCCCAGAGTAAGTAGTGTTTCAAAAGCGTTTGCTGAATGAATGAATTGTGTTAACCCAGCCAAGCTCTGGCATTATTATCTGCAGGCTAGTCTAATTCTAGAAGAGACAGCCAGATTCAGGAAGGGGAAGACTGTTCAGAGGGCGTATACTATGCTTGTATAAGAAAAAAAAAATCTCATTAAACAGACCTTAGTAAATTTCACATTTTGATGATCTGGCCATATTTGGAGTGAAGCTTACCGAGCTCTATAAAGAGTGTGCTAGAATCATGCAGTCGTCCAGAATATTTCTTAGAAAAGCATCCATTCGCCCCGGGACAGAAGGAAAGGAAGCTGGCAGGTGGGTGAGAGGCCCCGAAGAAGGACCGTTGAGCCAGTTTCTAGCCTCTGTCCTAATGGTGAGGAAAGTGACGGCAGTTCAAAGCGTGTAAAACGAAACAGAACTCATTCCTGGCAGCAGCTCTTTTGCCTAAAGCAGCAATTCCTCAGACTTCTCACTGGAGGCGTTGTAAAGGTTATGGCAAAGTGCTAACATGGATTTAAGTCAACAGCAAATCATGGCTTCACAGATTAATAAGTTAGCTGCACAAGTAAGTTTGATACATAGGTATAGTATTTGCTTTTAAACCATGTATAACAAGTAAATTAGAAGTTAAACCATTTTTTTCTTTTAAGAACTAAAAGGAGAATGCTTTTGAGGATATTGAGGATAGCATCCTCGCTTCAGAGCAGATTGTTATTTGATAATATGACCAACAATAAACATCTAGAACTTAATGTTTATAAAATAAATCTTAGAAGAAAAGATACTGTAGCTTTTTTTTTTTTTAATGAAACTCTGTGAACATTTCACAGAACTTTGATGTTCCTCAATTAGGAAAACGCTGCCTCCAAAAGCCTATTTTAAGTAGCTGTGAGGCATTGAAATGGAATTTTGCTGCACTATAAATTAAACTCTAGAGTATATACCCAAAGTCAGTGCCCTGCCTCAGGATTCTCATCTGAGCAATGCCAGAGGCCGTCTCTGGACGATTAGATTCTTAAGTGGTTGAGACTTCTTGTCACCTCAGACTGTTTGTCACCCTCACCAGTGACCAGTGTAGGTCAGTGAGGACGAGAGACCCACACCATTGGCAGGAGAGGATTCATGGCCTTCCTGTCCCTTCTGAGAGTTGCGGTGGTGGTATTTAGTCCTGTGATGTGTCCCTCATGGGCAAGGGTTCCTCAAAGGGCCTGTAAGAGGCAGGCGGCATTTTTAGCTCAGGTAGGATGTGTTTTGGGGAAAGTCAAAAAGGGTGGTGGCTAGAGCTGGGGTGGGGCCCTAGCGGCTCGTTCTACCTCACATATTCAACTGCAAAAGACTGAGCAAGTCCCTTCATCGCTCTGGGCCTCG